CACACACACACACACACACACACACACACACACACACACACACACACCCATCGTTTTTATGGAACAAACCATCTGACCCAAAGTCATCAAATCTCTGACACCGGCACTTTACCAAAACAAACCAATGCACTTCAAATAAACGTGCATTTGGCGCTCGATATACCTTTTGCAATACCGGTGCAAAAGTCAATAAAAAAAATACAACAAAGAAAGGAAACGGAATGGGAAAAATATTTTTCCCATCAATATTTAAGGATACCTGCAAATATAATCAAACTAGCAGATGAAATCTCGAGGGCAAAAAAAATGCTTTCCCTTGATTTTTTTCTGTCTTTTCTCAATATTTGTTTCGCTTTTTTTGTCGGTGGGATTTTAGCAACGCATTTCTTGTTGTTTTGCCAACAGCCATTTGATTTTTCAAAGTAGCGGCTGTTGCGACGATTCCTGGAGACATAATCAACATGTAAGTAATGTGTTTGTCGCCGATGAAAATCGTCAGCCTTGGCTCTGATTCTACAAAAAACACAATTCCAATGACAAAACTCACGCATATGTTTTTCAAGGAATTTTGTGTCATCCTCATGCCGAACACATGAGACACACCATACGAAATGACGATTTTTCCTGATGAATAGTTAATAGTTTAAAAAGACTGAATCACGCTGTAAGGCGATAATTTACGCTATTGACTGATATTTATGCATGCGATAAACGTACAAATAATTCGCACTTGCAACAACACTATATTTAGTAGAAACACCTTTCGTTGGCATCAATCACAAATTAGGCAAAATGAAAAGTGAACAATTTTTTTTTCCTTTTATGAAACGAAAGATGCGAAAAAAAGCAGAATGCACTGAACCAAATTATATGTTTCGTTTATGTGTCCCATATGCACTGTCTCCGTTAATGCACTTCCTAAGCATTTCTTTCTCTTTTTTGTCACTGCATTTCGTATGTAGATTATTCATTCCACCGAGATGATTATAAGCAAATCCATGTACATCTGGCCGACATTCGATACTGCAACCGGCACACGCTCAAAATAAATAGCGTTACCAAACGAGAGAAAAAAAAGGGAAAGAGAAGGAAAAAAAACCGAAGAAAGCATCAGTCACATGTTTTGATTGATCAGTGTGCACAAGTTGGATATGTCGACGCACCGATTCGTTGTTAAAATGCAAAGTTCAATGTGCAAAGAAACTCTGGTTAGAAATGAGGGCTACTTGTTAGTTGGTCGGTGTTCAAATCATTAAAAATGAACTGGAACACTGGCCATTGGAATGGCAGCAGCTGGTAAATATTAAGCAAAAATCAAAGTTATTAACTTCTCAATCGTAAATAGAGTCATAATCGATGATTTCAATCACAAATCATTTCCTTATGTGATTCACATCGAAAAAAAATCCAAATAAAATTGACATTTGCAATCCAGCTGAAGAGATCGCGATGTTCTCATACTTTTTCCTCTGAATTTATGTCTATATTCGGCTTTATTCGACTTTATTTTAAATAATATATTGAACAATTTGGACATTTGGAAAGCATTTTGACGAAATTATGTCGAATATGATAAGGAAAGCATATTTCGAAAAAAAAAAAAATCTCAAATGACTTTAAGAAATATATTGCTGCCATCTGTTTTTAATCCTGGAAAAAAAGTGCATCATCTGCTCGTCGCTCCGATAAAAAAATCTTTTTCAATTCTTCGCATTGTCTCATTTCCACGCATCGACGAAATAGAAAACTTACTTTCGTTGCAGGATATTTCACAGAGTAAAAGATTTCTGTATGTTTTTTTGCCGTTCCTTTTTGTGCTTTGTTTTCTATACGTTTCTTTTTTTTTCAATTTAGAAGCGTCTTTCGTACAAACATGATTTGTTTGAGCATCGTATTCTGTGCTGTACATCCATATGCTGTTCTACATTCGTTTCTTCTAATTCTTCTTTTTGATCCTTTCTTAAGGCGTAAGTGACACACATTTCACTGCTTCAGAAATCGATGGTCTATTAACGAATACAAAAAAATACGATTGCATAAAAAAACTATGCTTAGAAAGACAAAACGAAAAAATAATAAAACGAATAGAAAGGGTTGCGACGACATTGAGAGATGAATGTTAGAATGCTTACAAATTCAATATTTTCTTGAACAGCTGTATATAGCCAACACCAGTTTCTTTATTTAATTTAAAAAAATTACAGATATTCAGTTGGAATTGTAAATATTTTTGAAACAGCTAGCTCTTTTTAACGATCATTTCTTTGAAAAAATTCAATCAATATTTTAAAGTAGTAAAAGGTGACCGAATATTAGCTGCTATATAAATGTTCTTCTTTTTTTTCCAAATACTACGTTTTGCTTTGGAAAATGTTTACAAAATACGATTTTTTTTATAAAATTACAATTTGAACACTTAAAGAATGTATTTTGGTGTTTCTGTTTAAAAACATATAACTAAGTTTACTAACAATATATACAAATTAGGGAATTTTAAATTTTCGAAAAGTTCTCGGAAGTGTCAGTGCGATCAGATGATTTGTTAATATTTTCGGTACTTTCCCCATCATCATTAGCAACATTTTTGGCTGTAGCATTATCATCAACAGCCAACTGGTGTTCTCCCAAAACGATGTGTACAGTTCTGAGCAAAAAAAGTAATAAAGACAATAAGTTAAAAAGAACTTAATAATACAATATTTTACACTTACAACATGAAAGAGAACAGAATCAATTGCGTTAAAAATGTTAAAACATATATTCCAGGAAATGTGCCAACCGTCCAATTGTAAATTTGCGAATATAACACGGAACTGACCAACGGGACAGCATTGTCACAAACCGAAAAAATCGCAAACACTTTGCCACGCTCGGATGATTGAACGACTTTGGATGTCATGGATCGAAGCATTGGCCCTCCAACCTATGCAAAAATCATCAAAAATAAATGAAGTCGAGAAGATACCCGAGATATACATAAAAAAAAATACTAACCACGACACTGGAAAATGCTGCACCAGCATAAAATGATTCGGGAATTTCAGCAAATGCGTAGAAAATTCGAGCTGTCGCAAAACAAAAGGCTCCAAACATGGCAATCGTTGTGTCTTTCAATTTGAGCAATTTGGTAAGTATTGGCATTCCAAAAAATAACACAATAATCTGCGACGTGGATTGAAATACTTTGAAACTACTAAATTCGGTATTGGTCCAACCGAATTTGATTTTTGTATAGAGAAATGTGTAATATTTTTCATCACGTTGAAATGTATAAAAGAACATTGACGCAAGAAAAATCCAAAATAAAATATGATGCCTGTTCGCACGTTTCTTTACTAGAGTTTTAATGGTGTCGGCAACATGTTGTCGATCGAAAAAATCGCCAGCAAGTCCACAGCACCCAACTTCTCTAATGGAGTTTTGCCTGGTGGATGTTCGCCACTATTCGAAATTTGACTGTATTAGTACAAATTTTTTGTTCCAAAAGGTAAACAAACATAACATACCTTTAAATTAACAATCGCATATAATATTGAGGTTGACAAAATTACTGCGTTAATACTGAACATAATGAAGTACGAATGATTGAAGACCTTATTGAAGAGATACGAACCTGCAATGCATAATTGTGAAATAATGTACCGAAGACGCAAGAAAACAGATGTAAAAATCATACCTAAAGCGATCCCTGTTGGGAATGTCACTAAATATGAAACCTCGAGGAGTGTAACGCGCAAAGTTCGATTTGCAACACTCGATACATCTGATATATAAGCGAAGGCAGATGCAAATATTACAATATCTACACCCGTTATGGCACTCGGAATCGTTGCTGTGAAAATGATATATTCTACAGGCCATTTTTCTAAGGAAAAATATTAACCAATTTGAACTGTGAACATTTTTTTTTTTCAGTTTTTAAAGAAACGAACACGAATTACCATAGTGAATGTTCAATAAAATTCCCAAAACATAGATTAGCTTTCCAGTTAATCCAATGAGCAATGGAATTTTTCGGCCTCGCCTATCGGACCATGATCCAATGAATAGTGATATCACAATGGGAAAAACATAGCCCGCAATATGATTCCATTGAAGAAACGTCGATACTGTTATCTGTATGTGTTAGAAAAAAAAATACAATTAGATTTCAAAGTCAGCGCAAAGAAAAACATTATTCAACATACTTGTACTTCTTTGTGAATATTATTATATGTCTCGTTCTTAAGATTATCACAAATTTTAGCTTCGACGCCATGGTTGACCATGCATGCTTTTCTTACAAACAATTCTTGTTCGATGACTGTTGTTAATTGAAATGCAAACATGTACAAAAACATCATGGGCTCGACGGTGATGTATCGAAACCATGCCTGTCGTTGCCCAACATTGGGGTTCATGTTTCTTAAAATTTAAAATAAAATGCTCACTTGAATTACGATGAAATAACAGAAATTGGTTTTTTTTTTGAAAATTGTACAACTTTATCGGTTAGTATCTCTTATCTAAACGTTAACTGTTCTTTTTTTTAGCAATTAAAGTATTTTTATGAAGTAAAACTCATACCTAGAATGTGATATGCGGTTCAAGAAAATAACTTTCACTATTATAAACTAAATTCTCTTCTCGTAAACAATAGTTACTTAATCACAGACCAATCACATTTCCAACTTTTGTGGAAATTGAAAACAAATATTTTTTTCTAACTTGTTGATTACATTATCAGATACATTCATACACTGTAATACATTTAATGTATTTTTCCATATCGATACTGACTTGTTTAAAACAACAATAAAAGCTTACAATTGAAATTGATAACATGTGTTAAAGTACAGCAATGTGCAAGAGATCATATTACTGATTTCAAAGTGGAAAACAAATCAAATATCTAAGCAGAGCTTTGATATTGATCAAATACACACAAATCCACATGATGTAAGATGTTATTGAAAACATACATCAAAAACTTAAAGCTGTCATTATTACAATGACATATTCGACATGTGCGTTCACAGATAATTTCTTGAATTTCTCATAAGAATCGCAGAGGGCGACACTTTGATATGGCGTACAGAGCTTTGGATAGGTTTTCGTGGCATTTATTATTTTTATTCAATATTCTGACATCTTTTTAGGAATTTTTTTTAACGTTGTATTTTTTTCTATGGGATTAATTGAAATTTCAATTTGATGTTTTTAATGAAATATTTTATTGGAATATTTAATTCAGAAATGTTCTTTTGATGTTGAAGCCGTATAACTTAAATAACGGCCAAAAATGTGTAGAAACTTAGCTTTGTTCGAGGGATTTGTCATCATTTTCAAAATATTTAATGGTTGGGATATTTCTAGGAAAATTTAATTGAATTGTGACATCTAAATTATTGTCATCAACAATTGGCTGTTGTCTATTCAATATATTGTGTACAATTCTGAAAAAAGTGCTTATTAATTAATTGAGTTAAAATGAGTTAAATGTGCCTATTTTTTCGCTTACAGCATTAAAACGAAGACAATAACTTGGGTTATAAATGTTAAGACAAATATTCCAGGAAATGTTCCAACCGTCCAATTGTAAATTTGCGAATACATGGTTGAACTGACCATCAGCACAGCATTGTCGCAAAGTGAAAAAATTGCAAACACTTTGCCACGCTCGGATGATGGAACGGTTTTTGATGTCATAGATCGTAGAATGGCTCCTCCAATCTAATAAAGGATATTATAATATCACTGATCCAATGTTAATATATTGAAATCCAGAAAGAAATAGTAAATTTACTGATTCTATAGAATCCAACCCATATTTAATACTCACCGGTCCGACACCAGAAATGGCTGCACCCACGTAAAATAGTTCGGGAATTTCGGCAAATGTAAAAAAAATTCGGGATGTTGCAAAGCAAACGGCACCAATCATAGCAATTGTCGTGTCTTTGAATTTTAGTAGTTTGGTAAGAATTGGCATTCCACCAAACAAAGCTAGAATCTGTGATGTGTATTGAAAAACTTTGAAATTTGAAAATTCTGAAATACCCCAATTGAATTTCATATTCGTATACAGATAAGTGTACAATCTTTCGTCACGTTGAAAAACATAACAAAACATGGCCGTTAGAAAAATGCACAGCAGTAGGCGTCGATTATTTTTGCGTTTTTTTACAAGTGTTTTAACGGTGTCGACAACATGTTTTCGATCAAAAAAGTCGCCACAAATTCCACTCCATCCAACTTCTTTGATAGATTTTTGTTTTGTTGATGTGATCCACTGTTCCAGAAGGTTCAAACATGTTTAATGATTGAAATATTTTTTAAAAACACAACGACATACCTGCAAATTAACAACCGAATAAATAATTGAAATGATCAAAAGTGTTCCATTTATACTGAACATAATGAAATACGAATGATCGAACACTTTATTGAAGAGATATGAACCTGTAATCAAAATTTTTGGATTTTTTTTAGTGAAAAATTCAAAATAATTAATATTCAGAGTATGAATCTGAAATTATGCATACTTCATACCAAAAGCGATTCCAATGGGATATGTTATTAAGTAAGACACTTCCAAAATTGATATACGCAATGTTCGATTCTCAACGCTTGATACATCCGACAAATAAGCAAAAGCGCACGAAAATATTACAATATCTACACCCGTTATGACACTCGGAATCGTTGCTGTGTAAATGATGTATTCTACTGGCCATTTTTCTAGAAAAAAAATTCAAACTATAAACTTGATTTTTGAAATAATAATGTGAATTCAAAATACCAAAGTATATGTTCAATAAAACCCCCAAGACATAGATTAACTTCCCAGTTAATCCAATGAGCAATGGAATTTTTCGACCACGTCTATCCGACCATGAACCAATAAAAAGCGAAATTAAAATTGGAAAAATATTGCCAGTAATGTGATTCCATTGATAAAACGTAGACACTGTTATCTGAAATGTAATAGAATCTAGTTTTTTTTTGGAGTTAGCCACAATATTATTCTTCATACTTGGACTTCTTTATGAAGATCAATATAGTTTGTAAGATTGTTACAAATTTCCATTTGGATGCCATGATTGACCAGGCATGCCTTTCTAACAAACAATTCTTGTTCGACGACCGACGTTAATACGAACGCAAACATGTATAAAAACATCATGGGCTCGACGGTGATGCATTGATACCATGGCTGTTGTTGTTTCGGATCAATTGTCATGCTTTTTGTAAAAAAATCTTGCTATTTTATTTTGATTACACTATTCACCGATACAATGTGCACATTCTTCAAAGAGACAAACTGGTAAGATATTATTGTTCTCATCAATAGATTTTGTCACGAAAGCAATGATAAAAGAGAACACATAAAAATCTTTAATCATTAGATAAATGTCGTTATCTTTAATAATATAATCTTATCCAATTTTTGGATCTATTTTCTTCCCTTTAATTAAAAAGAACAATTAAAAGTTATGAACATTATTTTATCTAATCAAATTTTCTATCAAATGTTTTGCTTTATGTTTATGTGTAATTCTTTCTTCTCTTTTTTTAATTACAATATTCAATTTTTAAATCAAAGGCAATTACCTATTTTCTCGTCTCCAATTAGTAGGAAAAGAAATCAAAATGTACACAATAAAATTTAAACATATGAAAATCAGTGATGGTGTAGTGGGTTGCGCGAAATCCATAAAATTTATATAATTAATCCACTACGGTGACCTTAGTTAATGAAGATAACTGAATATATCACTTCATTGAAAATAGGACGACGAAGCATTACTACATGTTAATTGAATCGTTGCGGCGAAAGAGTAGCTCTTATTTTTCTCCAAATAATACTGCAACATGAAGTTTTTTTCACACGGTTTATTTGTTGTAATACAACAAAAAAACTATTCATAAAAAACTTTATGTTGCAGTATTATTTGGAGAAAAATAAGAGCTACTCTTTCGCCGCAACGATTCAATTGGTTAATGGTCTTAATGGAACTCAGCCGTTGTCAACGAAGCACGACACCTAAATCGCCTAAAGCGTAGTCAACCGATCGTGCGACGTTGGCAAATATAAACTTCTGATATGATATTGTGATTTAAATTGACAAAATGAAATTAGTTCTAAGATCCCATGATCATTTTGCTTATGCTGCATTTAAGCGGTTATGACATCGAAATTTGATATTTAAACTTGAGTGAATGTTCGAGTACCGTGACTGCAATAAACGTGATAAAATAATAAAATCAATCATCTCCTGTGAAAATCGTGTGATTATAATTAAATATACAAATGCACATGCAAGTATTGAAGAAATAGTGATGCGGGTACCCCATGGCGCGAGTAACCTGGAAGTCATAATTCCAAGAGAGAAGAGAAAAAAAAAGTGAAAAAGTGATTGAAAAGACATTGATTGGTTATGATTTCTACTATAGCTTTGACCGAAGAAAGTCAACGTGATTCAACGGTAAACATGAATGATACAACAATGCATTTGCCGCCAAGCTATAAAGAAGCGACTAATGCAGATGCTTAACCAAATATTGAAAATCACGAAGATATGCCACATCTGGATAAAATCACGAAGATATGCCACTGGCCATGAAAATTCCATAGTTAGAGCTGTGGCTGGCGCGTTAGTAGGAAGGAAAGCTTAGCAGAAGCTGATAATATGAAAGATGGAGATCTCGTCCGATGAGTTTCAGCGATGCGTGCTCATGAATGCCGTTCGAGAATTGGCTGGAATAGGGGACATACTTCAATCCGAGATGACACAAGATTCCAATAATACACAATAATTTATGCTCCCGTTACAAATGTATAAATGAAAATATTTACAGCATAAATACTGTCTTCTAAAAATCTAAATACATCTTGCAATAATGATTTAGGCAGAACGATGCCAGATTACAGATTCTATCTCCATATAATGATTTTATAGACAAGGTCTTAAATATCCAAGATGCTTTAATTCGTGAAAAGGTAATGATCCGCAAAGTTCGATTTCCAAGTCTTTGTTTTGTGATACAAACTGCAACATTTTGAATGCACATATGTTTATTACTCACACTAATAGATTTCATGACTAAAACCGTGATAACACACGATTTGTCAGACAAATTCACAATATATGTAAAAGAGATCAGTGAAAAAATCTTATCTATAAAAGGCTAGCGGTCGAACGTCCCCGAACGGACGAAATGTCCGGCCGTCCGTCTAACATTTTTGGTCCATCCACAATTTTTTGATGGACGGACTGTTCACGGACGGACGGACACCCTAAGAATTTGATCGAACATTAAACGGACTGATATGTTGGACGGACGGACATGTCCGGACAATTTATGGATATGGATTAAATGAGTAGACAGCGATTCGAATATAAAAAATATCTACAGACGTACATGTTGGATGAACGGACGGAGAATGCATGAAAGGCAGTGGACTTTGAAACATTCATACGGACAGTCATGTGTGGATTCCTTGAAGAAAGCATTGTGAGTCATACGTACAAAGCAAGCGTTCACAAACGCCAACATTGATACAGCACATCACTATAGTGCTTCGTATCTTCGTCAGTGCACGAAGTGCTCCAAACGCACAACGAAGGCATAAGCGATGCAAGCATCATTTGATGCAAAGTATCAATGCTGAGATTTGTGAACGCTTGGTACAAAGAGAACAAAATAGATTTGTTCCCACAACATTTCGTCCGTTCGGGACGTTTGACCGCTAGCCCTATAAAAGATACATGTTGCTATCTTCATTTCCAACAGTTGATTTCCATTTCTTCCTCTTAATAAAAAAGCACAATTTCTATCATTTTATCTAATCAAATTTTTCAGAAACAATTTATTTTATTTTTTATGAGTTTGTATTTTGCTTCAAATTACAATATTCCAAAGGATCAAATTTTCAAATGAAAATGAGATTAAAAGGCAAATCGAAAAGTTAAAGTGGAACTCGTGCGGAAAAAGGCCACGAGAAAAAAAATAAGAAAAAAAGAGATAATGTATAAAAAAAACTTAAAGCCTAAAACGACTTATTTTACATTTGTAATGTAAATAATTTGTAATTTCAAAAAAGTTCAAAGTTCATCATCATTAAACGTAGTTGCAAAATGCCTATCAACTATTATGATACATGTGTGTTTGCTGAATCGGTATAAATTACATAATTTAAACAATAAAAATCAAATAAATTATGAGGAGAAAAAAAATTATAAATTTTTTAACAAAATATATTGTTCAAAAACGGTTTGTTTGTATGTTCAGCTCCAAAGAGGGAAAAATTGAATAAAAGTTATAATAATGAACGAATGTAGTATTTTTGTTGGTCGATCTATAAATCGATGCAATTGAATGATTTGTTGAGGTTTTCGTATGTCAAATTTCCATTCTTAATTTACATGAGGCACATTTGTTGCAGTCGTTCGTCTTCCACGTCTTGCTCCACGTCCCGTTAACAAATATGACAAATCAAGTGGTTGAACATCTTCGTTCAACGTTCGCTGTGACTCCCTCAAATGACCCAAGAATTTCTCCAACCGTGTTCGTTTCTCGTTCAACGTCTTTTGTGGTGGTGGCATTAGCTGAACGATTGGCATCAATGGCTTTTTCGATGGTTGAATTGAAATTTCATCAGGACAGCGACGTTTCTTTGGGGCTTGTTTCATCGCTGTCGTATTAACTTCATGCGGCTGTAAAACCAAAAAAAATCATTAAAACAAACTCAAATTCCATAACATTTCATAGTAGCTAGCATAGTAGTCAATCTTACCAAATAACTGCGTGTAATTTTCAATCGTTGTCGGAACTTTTTGAACGCATAATTTTTTGTGCATACTGGATATGGATTTTTAATTTTGGAAAATAATCGAGCCGCCTTGTCAACACGTAATTCACAAATGTATACATGAGATTCAATGCTGTCCATTGGTCTGCCTTTCAAGAATGTATTTAGATCCATGACCCAACACCGGCCCATAATCAATTCGATAGGAACGACTTCGTACAATGGAACCCGTACCACTTCATTTTGGTAAAATTTACGCGTTGGTTCGTGATACGTTTCATGTGGTCGCAAATAATGATGACCATAAATAAAGCGACGACCATCATGATCTTTCCACATGCGTTCCACACGGAATATATCGCATTCATTGTGATCAATTTCACCGATTGTTTCGTACGTGTGTTTTCGTGTCGCTTTGGTCTTATCTCCATCGGTTGATCCTTCGATTGGAATGTCACGCAGCACATAAACCGTGTCCGATTGACGAATTTGAAGATCATTACCACGCATCAATGACAAATAGTATGTGAAACCCTCTTCGGTTTTATCTTTCAATGGAATCTCATAGTCAACGTCACGTAGTGCACATTTTTCGCAAAAGTAATCATCGGCTTTTGTATCAGCACCAGTACATTCGGCATGTTGCCAAATTTTACATTGTGAACATTGAATCATCACACCTTCATCACGATACAAACCACAAATGCATCGTATATGCTCTTCGTTTGGATCTTCAACTGGGCACAAAAATGGTCCCGATTGTGTTTCTAACAATGTACTCAATTCGGCCGATTCACCACAAATTGCCACCAATTTATTGTATAAATCGGTTTTCTTTCGCGCATAAATCGTTTGCAATTGCATTGTGATTGTTGCTTCGGTCGAATCATTTCCATAATACTCGATGGCATTTTCAAAGAGACGATTCACATCGGCATCGAATAGAGCGGGTCTATCGTACACACCTTTTTCAACGTTTGCTTCAATCGTTTGCAAATCAATGGGGCTCTTTATCTTTTCATAATACTGTGGATTCTTTTTCTTTGACGGTAAATTTAATTTTGAAATGGCATATTGACCGGACGCATCTAGAATGGAAAGAAATCGATATGTTGTAAAATATTTTATGGCTCATGAATGGCGTAGCATATTTTTCGGATGACAAACCTTTGAAACTATTCAATTCTTCATAAATCTCGCGTAGAATGCCAGCGATTCGAACGGTTTTTTCAACGACTGGATCGTGTTCGGCGATGGTAACACCTCGTGTTCGAATATTTCGTGGAACTCTCAACGCTGAGATTTTCGCTGTTAACGATATTTGTAGATTATTCGAATTGGTCTGTGTCGGTGTGTTTTTTAAGTTTGCATTACGAATCTGTGGGAAAAATTGTCAAATAAATTAATTGAATTTAAAATCAATTGTTGCAAAAAGCAGTCAAGTACCTTTTTCAAATTTCTCAATAAGAAGCAATGACCCTCGATTGCAAGCGTTTGTTCCTTGGCACTTGGCAGTTGGAAATGTGAACGTTGTGCCTTTGCGTGCATGAATCCTTTGCTCTTCGATGCGCCGCCATGCTTGAGACGCTTAAGTCGGCCCTTTTTCTTGTCGATGGCTTTGTCTGAATCCTGTTAAACAAAGAAAACTCATCAGGAACACCGCTCAAAGTATTCAAAATCAAACAAAAGTAAAACAAACCTTATTTTCAATGGGCCGAACTCTTTGTGATTTGCCGCCGATGACACCGCGACAATTTTTCGATTCGCATTTGCAAACCTGTCCTTCGACCGGATTGAACAACGCAAAATTATAGTCATAGGTGAGTTCTTCGCCAGGTTGAATGTCTCGCATTGCGAATAGACACATGCGACTCAAACCATTAATAGACCATTTTTGCATTTCACAATTCGGTTCACACGAGTGATTGACAAAACGACAATCGCTGCCCATACGATGACCGTCAATGAATAAGCCACCTTCCAAGTGCAAGCAATAATGATGAATATCATTGACATACAATGTGGCCATTCGATCTTTGAATTCACGTTCAGACACCACCTCACCGACATACTCCAAAATGTATGTACCTTTCTTGATGACTTGATTGGATTTAACGCCAAATCCTTTATTCTTGGTCATAAATCGCTCAACCGATGCAACAATGTGCTTTTGGATCTTTGTATTTCGGCATTTATCGCCGCATGGACATGTTTCCGGACTACATTCCGTATACACCAATCGATTCAAACAATTATCGCCACATTCGTACTCCGGTTTGCAGCTGCATTGCGGCAAATCTGGTGATTGTATTGGTTTTACAGAATCGGCATAGACGTTTGTACGAAGCTTCTTGAAATTCCAACTATGAACCATATTTCGACCGGACAATTTGTCATGTTTATGTGCATACCACAAATCGTATGGCAACGTAAAATCGGTTTGTGTCTGCAGCAGGTACTTGTCAAAGAATGGCATTGGCAAAAGAGTGTCACTTGCTGGCTCTTGATCTTCAACCGTCTTTTTATCGATTGAATTTGAATTTTTCGATTTTTCAATTGGCAACATATTCGTTTTATAAAAGTTTGAAAATAGACCGGCCACCAAATATTTTTTCTTCAATTTGGCATGCGATTTTTTACTGTCAATCATTGGAACGATTTCATCACATGCATCAACGTAATTTACGTTTTCTTCTTCAGGCAATGGTTTTTGATCATCCACGATTGGCCCAATCCATTCATCGAAGGGAACAATATCATTCACATCTGTGACCGTTTCTTGTATTGATGGCTTTGATTTTGGTTGTATTTTATCCTTGCTTGGACTCTTTACCGCTTCACTCTTTTCGGAGCGAGCCCGTTTTTTATCCACGGCACTTGTGTCATTGTGAATGGTTGGCGTAGCGGTTCGCTTGTGGTTTTCATGTTTATTCTTTTGACTTTCACCTTTGTTTTCGTCCACAATGTCACGGCGTTGCCTTTTACGTCCCTTATGCTCTTCGTCAGATTTTGTCATTTCCGTTGGAGACGATGCTTTTTTGTTTGTATCAATTCGACCGTTTATTGTACGTTTTACTGATTTGATTTGATGTTCATTTTTCTCCAATTTCGAATGTTCATTTGTGGATTTCTTATTTTCCGCCAAAATTTTCTCTTGTTCCTTTTTTGATGATTCAGGCTCTTTTTTATCGACTTTAGGTTTAGTACTTCGTTCTGTGGATTTTGCAGTAACTGTTTTTGCCAAAATTTCTCCAGATATTGTGGACGATTTTGAGAGCTTCGATACTTTTGCTGGTAAGCTATCGTCTTTATTCAAAGACGGTCGACCACGACGAGGAGCTGGTCCTTTTTCAACTGTATTTTCTTTCTGCTTTATTTTGCTTTTCAGATCAATTTCTTTAGTCTTCGGTCGTTTGAGATGTTTTGATTCGTCAACACTGTCATCGATTTCATTTTGTTTTGACTTCGGTCGTTTGCCATGTTTTGATTCGTCATCAGTTTCGTTTTGTTTTGTATCGGTCTTTGTACTCACTTTTGATTTTTTATTTAATGGCTTTGATTTGGTTTTTTGTTGATCGGAACTTGTAGTTGAAATCGTTGACTTGGAATTTCGTTCGATAAAATTTCCAGTTGGTTCACCTTCTGATGGCACACGATCACATTTTGCTGTCAATTTCTCCAATTGAGCTACTTCCAAACAATTCAAAATGATTTTCGGTTCGCAGGTCAACAATTTGGAGTGATCTAAAATAACATTGGGCGTAATTACATCTTCTGGATCTGCTTCAGTTTCGATCGGTTTGGCAATGGTGGCTGGTTTCTTTTTCTTTTTTAACGTCGGGAATCCGGTTCGATTTGGTTTCTTACGTTTTCTCTTTCCGATTTTCATCGATGCACCAGTTCGATGTAACAATTTCTCCACAACTCTCACAGGGGCCACTTTATTGGCATTTGTTTTTGATACTTTGCCATCATTTCGATTTGTTTCGTTGGCTGCTTTGTTTGCCATGGATGGAATGGGAATTTCAGTAAATGGTATCTGAAGTTCTAAATCGATACTTGGTTCAAAAACACCTGGAGGTGGTTCTTTGTTAATTCGGGCATTGTTCACGCGTGAATGGCTGGCCTTTGTTATGGCAATGTGTTCAACTGGCTGAGTATTTGGCGGTAGTTGTTTTGATTTTGGTGTGGCCGTTGTTGCTGCTGTAGTATGTGAAGATTTTGATGATAAACTTTTCGGTGCCGATTTTGTGGTCAATGCTTTGGAACGTTGTGTAGAGCCTTTATTGGTAGTCGGTGTTTTTGCACTCGAATCGGTATTACTTTGAGTATTCGAATTGGTTTTTGTTGATGTTGAACCTTCTGGTCGTCCTTTTTTACGTGTATTTTCGGTTTTCTTGGATTGTGAGTTACCTTTGATTGGCACCGTATCGCCTGTTATTGAAGCTGAGACCGATGCTTGAATCTCTTGCAAATCTTTGCACGTGCTGTTGCTTGTGGCATCGGTCGAATCAATAACGTCATTCAAATCGACTGGTGTTTGAAGAAGGTGTCGTTTTTTTGGCGTAATTGCCTTTCCGGTGGTTTCAGTCTCATTATCCGGCTCAGTTTGTTCGTCATCCTTTTCGTTTGCATTGACATTTTCACTTTTCTCGCCGGGTGTCAAAAGATAATGACGTTTCTTTAGCGGTAACTTATGATCGTCTGGGCTTTTTGTTTGGACTGCTTTTTTGTTTCGTCGCTTGGAAGTGGTTGCTGAACTAACTGTTGGCACTTCTGTATTTTCCTGATTTGTTTTACGTTTTTTCCCCGTTCGACGTGAGCCCGACGCTTTGGCCGGTTGTGAAGATTTTTCTTTCTCGCTGCGTACCGGTTTTTCTATAATAATGGAGCACATTGAAGAGAACGATGTCGTGAGCAAATCGATTTGTTGTGTTATTTTGGCTGAATTTGCTTCGGATACTTGATCGGTGGTGGATTTGAGTCGCCTTCTGCGACGCCTTCTAAATGGATGTCTTGAAATTGTCGAACAATGGCTGCTGCAATGACTTACTGCTGATGATCGTCTTCGTCTGATTAAACCCGCTTTGATTCGTCCCAATTTCAATGAACTGCCATCGTCTTTGTAAATGCTCGATGTGATCGTTGGCATTGAATCGTTCATCGTAAGCAACATGCTATCAAAATTGCTGTTGCTGTGTTTGTGCTTTGGCATACGATCCGACTGGTTGCTGGAAACATCATCGGCCAATGCAGCCTTCTTTCCAGCATCTCGTGAGATCGAATTGCTTTTGATTGACTTTTTTGGCGACAGTTTTGACATTGATGCTGGTTTGGCTCGAGGTACTGGTTTATCTGATGAATCAAAACTACTACTGTCATCATCATCATCATCACTATGGCCCAAACTTAAACCAGCCAACATTAAAAGATCTTGTTCGTTCACCGTTGGTTTTGTTGATGATGCAGTTTTGGTTCGCCGTTTGCGTCGAACTTTCCGACGATGCCGTGTACTGCAATCACTTCGATAGCCACACGACTTTGCTTTAATGCTGTAATCACTTTTATAACCACTGCGTCGACTTTTACAGCTGTAATCGCTTTTATAGCCGGACAGCATGCGTCGATTTACATTGCAATAATCACTTGTGTAGCCGCTTTGAGCTGCCAATACTTTGCTGCAAATTGTATTTGTGTCACTGCGATAGCCACATTCGCTCGGTCTCCGAAATTTCTTGTTGATATCGATTTTTCGCCAAACTGGATCAATTTTTTCGATACCTTGACTATCACGATTTTTTGAACTTGCTGTGTCCAATTGCTGCTGGTGATTGCTGTGTTTCTTACGACGAGGTGGATACAGTACACGTTCCGTTGCATAAATACTCTTTTCCAACGTTGACATATCGATTTTCTTAGCTCCAATTGTCGTTGATTTTTTGCTTGATGGCACTGGACTTGTTGATGTTATGCCAGAATCAGGCGATCCACTATTTACATTTGCCGATTCATTGGTGCTAGTTGCAGGTGGCGGATTTTTTCGCGGTCGTCCACGTTTCCGTTTTACTTCGGTGGTTTCTTGTGTCACATTATTTGTTACTGTTTTGTCGTTGGTAATTTGTTCGTTTTCCGTGTCACGAATATGATTCGAATTTTGATTGCTCGATACCAACATTTGGGTCTTTGCAACAAAATCTCGTAAAAGTGACGATGTGTATTGTGTATTATTGCCTAGGGATGATCAAAAGAAAAGAATGGAAAAAATGGCAATCAGTCAATAAGTAATGGAAGAGAATCGAAAAATTATTATGTGTATTATTACTTTTTTCGATTTTCGAATCCTCACCATCCGAACCACTTTCAAACCGTTGAATGGCCGCCATCACAAGAGCCGGAATTTCCATGTCACTTGACGATGCACCATCGGTATTTAAATTTTGATTGGCCGTCGATTTGAGAAAATCCGTTTTGAACGATGATTTTGGCTTTGGCAAAGGTGAACGTTCGTCCAATTCACTGTCACTTGATTCATCACTTGAATCAGAGTTTGAATCGCTCGTTTCAACATTCGCAGTTTTCTGGTTGATTGTTCGCTTTGCGGTTACATTTTTTCGAATGCTACTGTTACCATTTTTGTGTAGCTTGCTGTTGCCATTGTGTTTCGGTAATGATTTTGGCGTAAGTTTATTTTTTGAACACATGGAACTTGAATCGCTATCATCATCGCTATCGCTGCAATCTGAACAACACGATGAATTCGTTGTTGAGTCGCGTCGTTGCCGCTTTGACAACATATTTTTCATTGTTTTATGTTCGTCACCAGCACCACTTTCCTTCAGTTCCGTGTGTTCTTTATTCAATGGCTTTCGATTGGCATTTGTTTCCTCCGTAGCTGGGCTGTTACTTTTTCTTGGCAGTGTTTTTGGTATACCAATTTTCATACGGAGACCAGAATCTGTGTCGTTTCTAAAAAAACAGAATGGGAGAGAGTGTGAGAGAGAAAAATCGAATAAAATTCGAAATGAATGAGAAACAATGTTAGTTCTTACTTCAAAATGCTAAATTTTGTCGTTGATGGAACCTCTTGATCGATCGACGCCTCACTGCTCGAACTACTACTGCTGCTTGACGATGAATCGGATGCCTTTTTAAATGCAAACACATGATCAAACAAAAAAGAAAAAAAAAAAACAATTTATTAGCCGATTGGTTGATGAAAAATGGTTGCAAAGCACGCAACTATTCAACAAACAATGAAAAAGCATTGAATATAAAAGAAGTGTGTGTGCTCTTACGTCATCAGAGTCAGAAGTTGTACTGTCATTTGATGGGCCCGTTTTCTTCAGACTCATTTTATCTGTTGATGGGTTGATAATGCAAAGAAGAAAGAAAAACAAACTCTATATACATTTCTACAAAAACACAAACTGCACAACGCTATCGTAACTCTATATCAAAATCTATAATCTAAAGAGTAAATGCCCGAAAAGTGAAATACACACAAACTATTTATTTCACAATTGTCAAATAAATTTTGTATCTGAAAAATGAAAATAAACTCAGTACTTACAGGACACTGATTCGATGGAATTTTTTATTTGTGTCTGTGTCATGTTAAATTGTCGATAGTTCAGTGATGGATCCCATTTGGAAACCTTTGATCTCTCATTTCTCAACCGTTCGTTTTTAATATTCACCAATATTCAAATGAGACAAAATGAATTCTATGCTATTTACAATTTCACGTTTTACAAACTTAACCTGAATAGTTTGTTACTGTCTATCGTTTCAATAAAAACATACGAATAAAAAACAAACGATTCAATTTATATCAAATATTTAGAATCAACACATTAATGGTCAAATGTGATTTTATTTTTCCAACAAAGTGATATAAATTCACTGTCAATTATCTTATATCGCAACACGATGGGTGTCGAGTTAAGCTCTATTCTTAGTTCAAGCTATTGCTTGTCAAATTGCATCAACCAACCACTTTTGCTCGGTTTCATATACGGTAAAATACACACATGCATATACACTGTAGACCTCACAGTTAAAAGTCTATCTCGTTTGAGCAGTCAGACCATTATTTTTTTTCGTTTTTTGTTACATTTCAACAAGAAATCAGTTTAATATACCGTTTATGATGCGATCTCTGAGCTAAATTTCAATCAATTCGTTTTTCTTTGTATGTACACCGTATGAACTATCAATGTCGACAATGTCTTATTTGCGCTTAAATCGTATTTTCGCCAAAATTGTTCCGTATTTTATAAATGCAGCACAATCATTTTAAAATTCTTACAAAACTAAATCATTTACACCGAAATTTCTTGTGTTGTAATTTATAAAGTCACAAACGAAAACAGAATTCGTTCGGTTCGCTCCGATAGCGAGCAATTTATTTTCTGTAAATGATATTTTGTGTATGAACAATATTTTAAGATGGCGCCTCATTGGCATTTCACATAAACCCACAATTGCCATACTAGTTTGTGTCTATGTATCGGTGTATGTGTATACGAGCGTGCGGTCATGTACATGGTGCAAGTTTTCGAATAAAACTAGTATATTCTCCCGTTATGCTTTGCATGAAATATCACGTTTTCAGAATTGTTTTTTTTTTCATAAATTTTTACATTTTTTTTCTTTCGAATTCAAAGAAATTTCATCTCATTTGGTTTCTATGAAGTGAAATTTTTTGTTTCATGGTTCAAAATTCTATGCAATCCAAATGTAAATAATAACAATAATGACCGTTCTGACAATACACAACTCACATACACAAACACACACGTATATACGGTGACATCAACATTTCAATGCTTTGTTGTGTTGGTAACGTGCACTGCACTCACTTTCAAAATGTACACATACAAATAGACAAGAGAGATGTCACAATGTTTTGCATATGGCCCTCGTTACGCACAACTACAGGCTCACATTCACATGCACCGAATTTGTTGCTATCATCTCGCACGCACACAATCATATACAAGTATCGTCTTCTCTTTGTATTGTATAGCTCACGATAGTCCATAACAAAAATTCGTTGGTTGATTGGCGCGCACTTTACATACAATGTGAATGATACATAACTTCTGTGAAATGTATGTATACAGACAAAGTGGGTCACATTCCATTCTTTTATCACATGGCTAATTCATTTTACATTCCAAAATAAAATTGCAACAAACATTTTAATTATACGCAAATATTGTTCATTTATTCAATGTATCATTCTGAATGGGTCATTCTTTTTTATATATATGATTTTAATTTGTTCGGATTCATGTTTTTCCTTTCTTATCTCTAAATCGAAATTTAACGGTTAACGAGAACTGTTCCATTTATAATTAATGTGGAAAAAATAACAAATATAAAAAAAATCAAATTGTGGTTCAATCCAATTCAAAATTGCTTTGTGTTTTAACGAATTCAATTTGAAATATAAATGTTTTTCTTTATCTAAATGTTTAAATTACTTATATGTTTACGTAGGAAAAAAAATCTTATTGAATTTGCACGGAGATCGTTTGGGTAATGTTGTTGAATTTTTTTTTTTTTGTGAAAAGGTTTTGTAAAATTGGACCAATATTGTCTCTTATCATTTCATCGTCTTCAGGTTGACATTCTTAAAACCAGAAATTTCCGCCAAAATCTCTTTCTACAAACAAAATCAAAATATATCGATTAATTTATGTGGATCTAACTCAAATCATGTTTAAAATTCGATCATACGATTAGGGACATTGGAGGTGCATAGAATGTCGAAAATTGACAAATGCTATGAACAGAGCTGTTAATGCCCGGCTAGTTATTGCCCGTACCTAATCCATATAACATTTGTCTGAATACATGTCCGCACTTCCGCGGTATCTATAATGGATTTGGCTATGAATGGCGGTATTTTTTCATTTCTTCAATGTTCCTCCGATCAAAATCAAGAAATTATAAAGTAAAAAAATGTTCAAGCATATGCCAGTTTTCAATGGATTCCATGTTCTTATCAACGACAACTTATTTCGATTTAAAATGAACATACTCATGGTCGAAATAGGAAAAGTCGATTTCGGAGACGAAATGGGTCACGTTCACGTGGGTCATTACCGAAACGTATGCGTCTATAGTGTGCATTTCGCACCAATGCTCGAACACCAGTGTCTTCCTTGTGAGTGTAATCTTTGTTTATAACATTTTTGCTGGCACGAACTACGGTTAAATATCGCATAACTTCTTCTTCCATTAGGGCCTAAATATCGATAAAAAAGTTTAAAAATCATTTGCAAAGTCATTTTATGTATATATATTTAACTTACGTTTAGAATAGCCTCATCGTTAAATTCAGCGACAGTAAGTTTCAATTGAATTAGTGGTCGATTTTCAAAGACAGTTCTGCGTGTTTTAACAATATTCCGAATGAAGTCTACATCAAAAGTAAAGCAACCTTCGAAAATAGTAAGTTTCTCAAGCCTTGGTGCGTGTTTGATTAGGTCAATGACTCTGTTCACGTCTAACGGTATAGACGAGAAACGAATCTCCCTTAATTCTGGCAACTTTACACCAAGATAATGTAAGTTATGATTGAATTCAGCAAAGATATGATCCTCTCTCGGTCGATCATGTGGATGAACAATGTCCAATGTAAAGTGTTCCAATTTTTCAATTTTGCTGATCTCATCAATGAGTTTCACGATGAAATATGTTCGACTAAATGATAAATGCAGTTTTTTTAATTCGGTGAATTGCGATATATTTGCCAAATCGGTGGTATTTTGTGCCATCTGTGACCGTTGGCTGTAATAATCATCTTCATTGAGAATAATTATTTGAGTTAGTGTGGGGCATATGTTATGCCAATTTTTAAAGAGATTTGCATGCAAACGATAACTTGTTTCAATCAATAATTTTTTCAATTTATGAAATTCAGGAACCTTCAGAGCATTCGGTAGTTCGCCACTACTTATGTCTATATTTCCATTTGATCGAATTCGTAACTCTTCCAATACTAGCCAAATCGATTTGAAACAAGCATAATTGAAATTCATTTCCAAATCGATGTCGAGATAGTCGAGACAACGGAGTAATGGCTTCATTTGTTCAAATTGTGCGGTGGTCACACCAAACGACATTAGCGTCAGTTTTCGAATTTGTGGACCAATGTATTGGAATAATCTTGAACATATATACCTAAGGGGAGAATCACAAAAGAAAAGAATAAAATTCAAAATAATCGATAAGTAATCGGAAAATAATCGAAAATAATCAATAATAATTAATAAGTAAGTGAACATATATACCGTTGGGAAAGTGCATTGAAAGATTTTTTCGATATCGTTAAATCTTTAACCGAATGACCAAAACCACGAAGTTTCAAAATGCCACGCAATTGCATCAGTGTGATTATTTTGTCGACCGATGAACGACATATGTTCAATACATTTATTTGTTTGGCAAGACCATGAAGTCGTTGGTTATACTTTGACATTTCTTCCAATTCGAACACATTCAAATAGCCAAGAATTTCATGAATACAATCATCATCTAAAGCTGTACACATTTGTTCATACATGCTCTCCTTTTTCGATGATGACGGCTGTGCATTGGCAGCTAAATATTGTTCCACGTCTTTTTGTGGTTGATTCCAAGTAAATGCTTGTTCCACCTCAATTTCAACACCTTCAATATGGTGCGGATATCTACGTAATGCATCTGCCGCTCCAAGTTCATTTACGAATGTCACGTATGCATAGTATTTGTCCGGTGGAAGATGATTTACAGCAGAGGTACTGGGTCGACCCGCATCTAAATTTTTCATAAGATCATAAAATTTCAATGGTTCGGACATGACTTTTGCATGGTAAACGGCCCCAAATTGCGAAAAATATCTGCACAGTATTTCTTTGGAAACCTGAATAAAAACACAAGCATTTTATTTATCTAATCTTGAATTATCATATCAAACTTTCTATTTTTATATTAAGAACTACAAAATAAACAAATATTATAACGATAAAAAATCTCATAAGGTCATTTAAATTAATATTTTACTAGTGTGCACAATGATATGCAAAATGTCGGCTGCAATATCAATTTCCGAAAAATCAAAATGTACCGCTATAATAGTGTGTGGCAAGTCAGCCTAGTGCAACTCACACAGACGAATGTATAGACGAAAAAAAGTCATGTTAAACTTACACTGATTGTTAAGTTTGGTATGTAAATGGTCTTAATTGCAATGCCTTCTTCGGTGAAAAATCCGTTCATGTTTATGCCTGATTGTTCTTCAGTGTTCAATAGTTCACAATAGTTTTTTTGTATCTCTGCTTTATGAATTCCTTTTTTTTCGTTGCTAGAAGAAAAAAAGAAAAAAATTCACTTGTTCAATATGTAATGTTCAACAATTGTCGAAAGATTTCAAACAAATTAAGATAAATCATGTGACACTAAAAATGCGTGCGCTGATTTCAATATTAAATGAATAATATACATTGTATTCCAACATACGAATTTGTTCAAAAGTTTTTTGCTGTGAAAAATTGTCAGAAGTTCTTCCAATTAGGTGTATTTTCGATCTAGTGCAAAATAAAACTAAAGACAATAAATGACTTTATGACATGAAGTTGAATTGGATATTTAATGGAATGTAAATGGCCCTCTATCTGCGTTCGAACAAACTAATTCGCTTTTTGGTGAATATTGTCACAAAATATCTGTTTCAAATGAGAATATCAGAGTTTTCTTGTTGTTGCATAGATTTATTTTTTATTTTTGTTTCGGTTTTGGTATTAAATTTAAATGGATATTTTTTTTGTTACTTTTTCACACATTTTCTTGGTATCGCTCAATTTTTTTTTCTATTGTGATCTTAATTCACAACAAATACATGTAAAGGAAATTGGATGTAATGACATTCAAATAATTAGAGTATGAAATAGGTCGCCGAAAGTCCTATTGTCTTGGTTTCAATTCGTCGAAACATGGCCGAAGGAAAATATAAGTTTTTTTGCTAGGATTATAAAACTCATGCCCTTTACTCCAATCATATCCGACAGCGTATGCAAAGATTTCACCACGAGCATTGAAACAGCATTTAGTAATCGCTTCGCCCATCGATTCCGATGACTTGAGTTTTGTGCGGGCGTCTTTGTCCCAGAAACTGAATGTACCATCGCTTCCGACCGTTACCAATGTTCCATGAACCGGGTGGAATTTGATATCATTCACAGCATAAATGTCTTGAACATTATTGTTTGCAGTGACACGATGACATTTGAATGTGAAATTGTCTTTTGGATTCACCGGATTCACCTATAATTTTTAATTTTCATACATTAAGTAAAAAAAAAAACAAATATAATTTTCTATTTTAAGTAATCAATGACACTTACATATTGAATGGCAACACGACCTTCAATACTGCCCAATGCATAACCGGTCGGTGTTTTCTTTTTATCACGGAAAATTGAAACGGCACGATGTTGGAACTTCAATGGACTGTCAGTTTGCTTGAATTCAGTCGGTTTATTTTCTAGTGAGTACACAATCAGTCGTCGGCCGGCTGTACCCACAATGGCCATGGGATAGTCAACATCAGCACAGTAACAACGTTCTGGCAAATTAATGGCCATCATCGGTGATGGGGATCTATTTGTGTTAAAATTAACAATTACAATTGTATGTTTTCGGTGTTTTTTTGTACAATTATTACCTGGTGTCCCAAAATTTGAGTGTTTTATCCCAAGAACCAGTCATCAAGCATGTGTAATTTGTTCCCTTAACCCAATGACAAGTTTGTACGGGTGCATCATGTTGTGCCACCTGCATCATTTGATTCGAAGCCAAATCCCAACATTTTACTTGCTTATCGCACGATGCAATAAACGCTTTTGTGCCATCCTATTGAAGGGAGACAAATGCATGGCATTTTTTATTTAGATTGCCGAGAAATATAATAATTAATATAAAACTCACATCTGTCCAGCACACATCTAAAATTGCCGATCCCATGGTTTGCATTTGTTTTGGTACTGTTTTTCCAGTTGATTCAACTTCCCACAATCGAACGCTTGAATCCCAACTGCCGGCAAGCAAGAAATTTTGTTGAAGCGTAATCGGACTAAACTCCATTGCTGATACTGTGTCTTCGGGTGGTGAAGATACTTCGATGTCTTTCATTGGATTGGTTTGTACTTGTGGCGTTGCGCCAAACGCACTTTGAGAATTTAAAGGTGATCCGAACATGATTTTTTTATTTTTCTATGTTAAAAAATTCTTTAAAATTCAATTTCGCATGAACCTAACCTGAAAATGAAAATGGACGAACAAAAAATTAACTTCTTTTCTTCAATATACGCTTGTGTTATAAAATTTGAAAAGAAAGACTTTTTATTTGAAATAAAATGGATAAATAATCACAATTTTCTTGTATAACTTACATAAATTTGAATTCTTGACAGAGAGAATATGTTGTAAAGCGCGACTTGATTGTTTGTGTTTCGTTTTGCGACTTTTAAGTTGTTGCTGCTATACAAATAGACGACAGTTGAATTTGACAGTTTTGGGACAGCATTTGGGACATTATAACTTCCCCTCTTACGAAATGTAATACGTAAATTGTAAACGATTTCTTATATGCGATGCGGTGATGGATTTGAATTTATGCTTACTTCGATGAGACTTTTGGATTATTGTTATTGCAAGGACTTTGTTTATCAAACGGATTTTCAATCTAATTACACATTTTTACAATTATGTAACAAAATGAACTCAGCGAGCATCGGATTCATAGATTTTTTCGATCAAAATATCGTTGCACTCAATGTTTTTAAATTTAATCAATAATAAAATTAGTCAAAATACGTCGTATGATCACATAGTATCGAAAAAAAAATGTACGTGTATGCGAATTGTGTGTGTTCAAAATTATATTCAAAACATGTGCGATATGACCGAAAATCGATGGTAGGGATATCGTTTTCAGCGAAGATGTTCATCGTTCAAAAGGTGCGGCAGCATCCAAAATTGATTAAAAGTGAGCGAAACAAGATAAAATAATTCATGATCATATTCAAAAGGAATATCGCTGCGCAAAAACAAATCTAGATTCAGTCTGACGGCCGATGGCCACATTTGAAGACGTGTCGCAGAAAAATCCAGATAACCCAAACTTGTGAGTAAATCTTATTCGAATCTTTATATTTCGCGCTGTTAACATCTCGGTATAGTTTTTGATTAAAATAGAATTCAAGCAGTTTTGGTTAAAGACCTTGAAAATACCCACTTTTATCAATGCTACGAAGTTTATTAGTAGAAGCGCTTTAACAAAGTGCAAGGCATGTTGTGCCGTCTCAGGATAATGAGGTTCAATTACGGCTTCAATTAAGTGGCTAAGAAATGTAAACACTTAAATGCGCAAAATAATTATTTTCTTTTATCGCAGATAAACACTTGCAGCTAACAGTCAAGGTCAAAACATCAACATGCCACACCATCGAAACGAGATTATAAAGTAAGCGATTTTAGTTATTTAAAAAAAAACTATGAAATGCACGCCTATTATAGATGTGTGGAATTTTTTTGCAATATTTTATCTTTATTTTATTAACGACCATTTAGTTGAAAGTTAAAAAAACCGTTATTAGGCTTGTCAAAATGCATCCATCATAATATTGTAGTCGAAAACGATTTATAAAAAAGGGGAATTTCGCCAGCCTCCACACAAACGCAAGAAAAGTAAACAGTTTTCAAGCCCATAATTATTTGATTATTTTATCGGCATAAGAAACGCACAAAAAACTGGTTTCTAATAAATAATGCAAACACATAACAAATGTCTGTCGATTACGTCATGCCATCCTATACAGTGCCCGATCATATTTGTTGGTTTTAAATCTTTTTATTTTATTTTTTCATATGTTTTTTCGGTATTCTTTCAATGGTAACGATATGTGTGATGCGTGTTGAGGATCGAGTTTTTTTTTGTTGAAGATATTTATTTATGATTGAAATTCCGGTTGAATGTACTATACAATCATGAAAATAATAAACAGGCACATAGACATCTCGAGAACTTTTTACATGAACTTGACATAGTGAATGATGACAACCAGCAATTTAAACAAGTTTTTCCCTTTCTTCTTCTTTTGCTTCGGTTCGATAATTTTTTTCCATCGATTCGTATTGGACAAAAATAAAGTGAATGCAAAATCGAATGAAAAAATTTGCTAATTTGATTAAGAATTGAAAAAAAAAGAGAAAGAAACAGAAAAAACGTCATTCAAACTTGAATATCTTTATCGACCTTTGAATAAATCAGTTGAAACAAAAGTGATGATAAATGTTAATTGATGTATGTAAACCATTCCAACAGAGAATCACAATCATGTTGCCAGCGTCGAACATTGCTGGAGAAAATACTGATTGGAATTGTTATCTTAGCCGCGATCACCATTTTCGCACTCTGTCTATCGCTCTACGTGGTGAACATGCAAAAAGAAGGTGTGTCATTTTTGAATTATTTTCTTTTTAAATCGTTTCTGAAATGCGTTTCTATTTGATTAAAATAGATTACAATAAAAAAGCACAAGCTGAAGCATTACGAAGGTTTCGTTCAACAGAACAGTCCGGTGGAAATGTACAGGGATTTTATCCAAAAACTGAACCAGTCACGCAATGGCGAGATGGACAAGCGGAACCCGAACAACTTCAAAAAGATAACTTCCAACCACAATTAGACTCTAGATCCGATGTACAGTCAGCTGAGTCAAACAGTGCAGATGCACATCCAGCTCAATCGCAAAGATTACCATCTGTTATTGGCGGGGAAGATGCATCACAACAAAAACCGGCACCGATGTGCGAATCACGGGGTTGCGTTCAGGCTGCATCGAATATGCTCAGCCAACTTGATTCGGCGATAGACCCTTGTGAAAATTTCTATGAGTTTGCCTGTGGCAATTTCATCAAAGAAACTATGGTGCCAGAAGATAAGGTGTCCCTTGACCCATTTGATAGAGTTCGTGACTTGTTAAATGATCAATTGAAAACAATTATAAATGAAGCACCACAGCCACATGAAGCAAAACCATTTAAATTGGCCAAAAACTTTAATGTGGCATGTTTGAATACAACGAACATCGAGGCACAAGGCATTAAACCATTAGCTGACATTTTAGAATCGTATGGCGGATGGCCGGTGGTCAAAGGTGATTCATGGTCGGACACAACATGGGATTGGGTTCAAACAATCAGAAGATTCAGACGCATGGGATTGTCTACATCGATGATCTTCCTCCTCAATATGAATGTTGATTTGAAAAATTCAAAACAACGCCAATTATATGTAAGTCGTATAAGACAAAGAATGGATTTTTATTGTTGGAAAACTGATAATAATTCTACAAATCCATGTTTCATAGATTGACCAACCTGAGTTGGAATTGGGCCGAGAATATTTGCTGAAAGGATTTGAAGAAAAAGCAGTTGTAGCTTATCACAAATTTATGGTTGACAATGCTGTTGTATTCGGTGCAGATAAAAACCGAGCCGAAGAAGAAATGAAAGAAGTGGTTGAACTTGAAATTAAACTTGCGATGGTAAGTGTGTCTTCTATTCCGCAATTAGATTTATTATTATTTTGATTCCCGAAGTCATTGAACATTTATTGCGTGTAGATTTCACTTCCACGTGAAGAACGTCGTAATGCCAGTGCATTATATCATCCAACATCAATTAAAGAATTACAAGAAAAATATCCATATTTGCAATGGTTGGACTACATAAATTCATTGATGCCAAGCACATTACAAGTTGATGAGAATGAGGTTTTAAGTGATACAGTGCCGACATTCTTCGAAAAATTGGGCGATGTTCTGAGCTCAACGCCAAAACGTACAATGGCAAATTACTTCATATGGCGTATAATTTTAGCAACATCTGGAGCAACTACAAACGAATTATTTAAACATAAAGTACAATTTTATAAAACCGTGTACGGTTTGCAAAGCGAACAGCCACGTTGGAAAGACTGTATTCAAATAACGTCTGAGAGGTGAATGTTCATTTGCAATTTAATATATTGTAAACAATTTTATAAATGAATTGAACACATACTGACCAAAATCGCATAATTTTTTTTTTCATTGTAGTTTGCCAATTTCTGTAGGCGCACTCTATGTAAAAAAATACTTTAGCGATGAATCACGACAGGCCGCCATTGAATTGGTGGATAATATTCGCGAAGAGTTCATTAACATTTTGCATGAAATTACATGGATGGATGAAAGTACACGTGAGGAAGCTATAAAAAAGGCAAAAGCACTTACACAACATATTGGCTACCCCAATGAATTGGCCGACAACAATAAACTTGAAGAATACTACCAAGATCTCGAAATTGAACCCGACAATTTACTCTTGAATACGCTACGAATAAATGTATTCAATGCTGACCACTTATTTGGTAAACTACGTTTACCTGTCAACAAAACAGATTGGGAAACTCACAGCAAACCCGCCGAAGTAAATGCATATTATGCAGCGCTCGAAAACAGCATTCGTACGTTTTATTAAATTAAATACTACAATCAAACGATGAATAAGTCCCATTGCAATTTAATGCACACATGTGTTTGTACATATTTTAGAGTTCCCAGCTGCAATCTTGCAAGATGTATTTTTCTCAGTGGATCGACCACGCTACATGAATTACGCAGGCATCGGAAGTATCATAGGTCATGAAATGTAAGTGGTTTTTTTTTATGCTGCGCCGTTCATACAACTTTATAATATAAACTCTTTTAGAACGCACGGTTTTGACGATCAAGGTCGACAATTTGACTTGGGTAAGCATGAAACAAAGCAAATGTAGCGAAATTTTTTTAGTTTAATAACTGGGTGCATTTTCGATTTGGTTTAGATGGAAATCTTCGCGTTTGGTGGGATGAAGAAACAAACAAAAAATTCTTGGAAAAGGCTCAATGCATCATCGAACAATATGGAAACTATACAGATCTGTCAACAAATCTTTCGGTAAACATTAGTCAATTCAAATACGCTTGAAAATAACCAATATACTTCAATTGAAAATTAAAATGAATCATTTTAGCTGAATGGCGTCAACACGCAAGGAGAGAATATTGCCGATAATGGAGGTGCAAAGGAAGCATACATTGCTTATAATAAATGGGTGGAACGCAACGAAGCTGAACCAATATTACCAGGATTGAACTCTTACAACCAGAATCAATTGTTTTGGATTTCATTTGCACAGTCGCGGTGTACGGTTGCACGCGAAGAGTTCACCAAAAATAAAATTCTTACAGGTCAACACGCACCCAATGAGTATCGTATCATCGGTGTTTTGAATAACATGCCTGAATTTGCATATGATTTTAACTGTCCCGAAGGAACAAAAATGAATCCAGCCAAAAAATGTAAAGTTTGGTAAATCAAATGACACACGGATTGTAACAATCAATGTTTCAACTAAAAAAAAAAAACAAATTCGACGATCCCACGTTGAATTAAAGTCATTTTCTGTTAAACTGAATTATTGTTTTACTCGAAATAAAATCAATGAATATATTTGTGGTAAAGATACTTGGATGTTTCTTTTTGCATTTCACATTTTATTCCGAATTCAAGGAAAATATTTCATCAAAATTGTCCCTTCGAAAAAAAATGTTGTACAGGAAAGTAAAAAAAAAATTGAGGTCAGGAAATTTTGAATACGTGGCCAGAAAATAAGCGAATAGGAAAAAAGAGCAAAAATGTCAATAATTGATTTGAAATTGACATTTGGTAAAAAATACATCGTCAAAATGAAATAAAATATTCAACTGAAAAAGTTCGACAATTTCTCGAGAAATGAAGTGATTTGTTTGCTTCTTAAAAGCTGAATTACCAAATTTATAATTGGAATTACCATTTTCTCAAAATAAAGTCAGTGATTATAATGTTGAATCGTTTTTATGTTAGTATGTGAGGATGATATTTTTCATTTTTCCTAGTACATACAATGTAGAAATGCCAACTAAAAAGGCAACACGCATCAAATTAGCTTCATTGCACACAATTTTATGTGATGCATTTTCTCCATCTCCCATCCTTTCTTTTCTGCATGGCGTTTGGTATATAGAGAGAACAGAGATTATGCCCCCCCATTAAATGCAAATTAATTGCGAAAATTGGAAGTTTTATTAATATTTTTTAAAGATTTTATTGCATGTTATAGAGCAGAAAAAAGGTAATCAATTTGAAACCGTTTTTTAGCCCATTTGTAAAGCTGCTCCGATAAAAAAAGCATTTAGATAATAAATGCCGTTTAGTTGAGTTGAGTAAAGTGTAGAAGATGCTTGCTGTGCTTAAGCTGTGATTGCTGCTGTGCATGCGATAATTAAAAGATCTAGTTGTTTATACAGCAATCGCACTTATTACGTATTTCATCCGTTTTTATGATATCATTCAAAGTAAACTAGACTCAGTGAGCTTCATTTCATGCCAGCACACATCATCATGTCGGCCGTATAGATAAGCTTATAAACTTAATTTTTACGTAAGATTTTCGTTTTTATTAGTGTTCTGTTTTCTTCTCTCTCTCTCTCTCTCATTTCTTACATTTCTTACATTTTGTGGAAAATATCGTCTTAAGACGTGCGCAATCGGAAAAGATGAAACAAAATGACGCCACACATTAGCATCATGTGGTGCGTATAAAAGACGAAGACACGAAATGTCAAATGAATTTGAATTTATGAATGGCCAATAATTTATTTTGAGAACTAAATTTATTTATCGATGTCAGTAAAAACAAGCACGACACCGATAAACGATTTGGGCGATAGACATCTCATCATTTTATAACCACATTAAATCATTGGAATAGGCATCTATCGTCTTTTATTGACTTTAACGCGAATTCGTCATTGTTTCTGCATCATCATTTTCATTCGAAAAGCAAACCGATGATGACTGATCAATCAGCAATTCTTAGACAGATTGAAAAAAAAAATATATTGAACGCGAAAAAAAAAACGTATAATGCATCATACGCAACTACGTAACAGTGCGTAACGCATATTTGCCATCCATAACCGAAACCTCATCTGCATTTTCGCGATATGAAATGCAAATTCTCCTCTGTCTTACTCAATCGCCTGGCCAGCTTCACTTAATGAATTTGTCTGTGCGCGCGTGCGTGTGTGTGCATGTTGTGCGAGTGAAAAATCTTTGCAGCTTGTGGCTCGTGGAATTTTTGTTCATTAGCTCTTTTATGAATATGGAATATGTAATTTCCCATAAAATTATGAATTATAAACTAAAATTAAAAGCATGATAATCGTTTGAATGCGACAAATGTTTGACTGAGAGCCAAGCACGTCGATGGAAGAAAAATGAAGAACACATTTATTAATTCACATGCAAGCACCGCATTTGTTTTTAATTGATAACCATTTTTTCTGTCTTTTAAACAGGAATGGCGCAAACATGCAACTCTATGTGTAAAAAAATTTCTTCTTTCGTTTTCAATCTTTTTTGTCTAAAGAGACCGGGCTCTGACGTTCGCTCAATCAAATGATGGTTATTAAGTGGTTTTAGTATACAATTTTGTGATCTAATGAGTATAATAATTTTTACATTTTTAAAATCTTTCACATTCAAAATATTCCTGATGCCAAACAATTTATGACCTCAATTAAAAACAAATGCCGACATAAACACATTTGCACTCAAATACGTGCCATGCACCTGAGTAAGACGCCAAACGATTATCTGCAATTTTCTTTTCGACCAAAGGACTTCGACACATGTTGAAATAACAAAATTCACTCCAACATTGATTGTTTCGCATGTAAATTGTGTCTTATTGTCTTAATTTTCACACATACACACACACTTTTCATTTTCATGTTTTTTTTTAATTGCTTGTACAGCCAAAACAATAGATCACAACATCATTAAACGGTTTACATGGTGCGAACGATGTAAAAAAAAGATATAAAGTCCATCACATGGTGTGTATGTGCTGCGAAAAATAACTAAATCAGTAAATCTTTGCAATGTGACAGCCCAAACAAAATGCACACTTTAAAAATTGTGACGCCTTCGATGTACCACCAACGGAACTGGAAAGCGCAATGAATGAAGAAAAATAAATGCCGTACACACACTTTCTATGCTTTATATCTACTTTTGTGGCCTGCACTTTATCTATATTGATACGAATGAAATTTCGTTTCCTTGTCTGGGATTTCCTCTGCAGAGCTTTTTTTTCGCTGCTCACTCTTAAAGTGGCACGGCATTTGACGCGCCTTTTCAATTAAAATGCCTACATTCATTTATCACATTCGTGAACCGTTTATTTGCTATGGTCATTTACTGATTAATTTCATTACGTTTTCATTTTGGTGTTGCCTTCAGTTGACTGTTGATGGTTGCTGTTTTGCGGACTATTGGTTAAACGTATGCCAACAAAATTCAACATCACCAATCTTACAAATAACTGTAATGTGCACTCGATTTACATGCGATGCATTTCAAGGATTTGAATTTCACATCTTTTTTTTAACCACTCTTGCTGTGTGCTGTGTTACGTTGATTTTTTTAGACACATTTGAAAATTGGTATTCATTTCACATGTTACGTTATTAACACGGTTATTGCAAGATCGAATAAGAAGATGAAAACATTATTTGCAACATTCACCGGATTTCGCATTTACATCTAACAAGGGTTTCTAACCTAAAAACAGTCTTTCGTTATTTTGATTTCATATTTAATTGCAAAAACAATGAACAGAAGATGAAAAATAACGTTCAAATCGTTCAATCAAATCGTTGATCTTTGGTCAATACACGGGCGAATGCCTATTAAACAAAAATTGCCTTTTGATGTGTCTGCCCGACAGCAGGCAGCGTGTTAAAGGAGGATTCATAAAAATTTATGCAAATTGTTTTAATTTTTCATTCATTTCATTTAATTCATTAGCACATAAAATAAATTACATTTTATTTTGCAGGGGAACACCTTAGCTCATGCTGGCTAGTGTATTAATAAAAGCCTCTGCCATCAACAACGAATAAAATCCGAACAAGAATGTGCAATGAAAACCACAAAAAAATAAAAATAAAACCAACCGAAAATCGCGTGCGCAGTCGTCGACAAGCGCGCACACACAGTTCATTCGAATATAGTGGTATCATATGTTATATCATCAAACAAATATGTTTTCTTCTGAGTGTAGCAGTTTTTTTTGTGTTGTTGTTGGTTTGATTTTTTTATTTCTGCATTCTTGTACGCATTTGGTGTTGAGTGCATGCGGATGATGATCGTCCATGTATACAATGTAAACAACAGAAAATCGTCTTACAATTTTTGCATAAATGCATCGCGCTACAATGCCAAACCATGTCTTGAACGCTTTAAAGTACACGGATGATGGTTGTGTATATAAGGTATTTTGCATAGGTTTGAACTTGCATTACCGAATGGTATCGTGTTTCATATAGTAGCAATAATATACAACAACAACATCAACCATTTGAATCAGACTCTATCTATCGCGACTGACACAAAGCGTGCGGCGCACCATAACCGCGCGACCGCACATATATAAAAACTCATACATTATTCGCGCTGTTTGTTTTGGTTATATGTAGTGTTATTTTTTTTCTTCTTCTTTTTTTTCAAAATACTTTGGCGCGTTGCTCTCTTACACTGTCTACTGGGTTGGTTTCATCGGCTCACCATCGTTGAATTTATTCATTCCGTTGTCTCATTTCAACGTGATCAGTCGCAATTGCTTGATACTGTCGAACAGTTGTTTTCTACTTTACCAGTGATTTGGTTCGTGCATTTTTTTGTCTTGTATTTCTTCAATATCGTTCAGAAAATTGCAGCAGCATTTGGTGCGTGTTTAAAAAATTTTGTCGTTATATTTGTGTGTTACGCCGTCATCGTCCACAAAATAATTGAACGCAATGTGTTTACATTTCCGTTGATTTGATTGTTGAACCGTTTTTTATGCACAACAAACAAACATAAAAAAAACAAGCGTAAATAATTTAACCAATTTTTACTATATTGTTTGTGCGAAACGAAATAAATAAATTAAATACGTTTGCGAATCAAATCCGTACCAAAAAATTACAACATCACGATTGGGATTTACACAAAAAAAAAACATAGTGGAAAGAAAGAATAAAAAAACCGCCAAACACTTACCAAATTCGTAGTGTAAATAAAATACATTTAATTGGAGCACGAAAACTAAATAGAAACCAAATCGATTGGCTTTTTTGGTTAAATAATAATAAATTCAAAATTATCAATAAAATAAAAATCGGAACGTGAATGATTTGTGTGACTCTGTGTGTAAGCGCGCGCGCAGAATCGTTTTGGTCATTTTTGAAGTTCAGCGAATAACGGTGACCATTTTTCCAGCCAATTGAATTGCACCTGATTTATTTATCCTTCGATTTGTTTCGTTTCGTTTCGATATTCGAATGTAATTCATAAATTTAGACAATTTTTTTTTATCGACCGAGATACGAACACATAAAAGTCGAAAAATCCAAATAAAAAAAAATTATAGAGTCGTGATAATTAAACAAAGTAGAGAAAAAAAACACATTGATTCGTTACCCTGTGTTTCGCCGCACTTTGGGTTTAAGTATGTGTTTGGCATAATAATAATCAGTTACGTTGAAAGTGAAAAACAACAACACAAACACACAATAACATTGGAAAAACTGTGCTCGATCACCACGATACCAGCCGCAACAATAGAAATCTTCATTTTCTGCATTGTTTGGCAATAGTTCTGCGCGCGTGTGAAGCGACGAGACGTGGAGAAAACGATAGTGAGTGCATTCCAATTGATCCATTGTGTGTTGTTAAGCATGGATTTACCTAGATTTTGACTGATTTACAAACGCAACCACAGAAGAAAAAAAGATACCACAGCAGCAACCGCAGTCGAACTAACATCGTTGATCTTTACAGCGTCGAAACTTTCTTGGGTACTCATATAAAAAAAAAGAAAATTGCATTCCAGTATCTATATCGTCTACTTTTGTATGCACGAATAATCAAAATATTGTTTGTGTAATCAAGAAGTTCATTTGCGCTCTCTTCGCACCACTTTATCGTTCACATCGACGAGATAATCGACGATACGTGCAAGTGAAAACGCTCAAATTGCATTAAATATTACATCGTACGTTTTGATTGTGGGTGATGGTGAAAGACTAAGTTCGATGCAACACAAAAACAAATCCAACTAACTCTATCTAAACGGAACAATAGAAAAAACATCATCCGCACAAAACAAAAAAAAGTATTCGAGTAAAAGTGTGTTAAAATCCAAAACACATCATTCAAATAAACAAATTTACAAAAAGACCATGGTGAATAGACAATACAATGTACAAAATATAAATAAAAACAAAGCAAAATTTAATCACATCGATGCAGAGACATTGAAAAAAAGCATCACGGTTATACCGAATTCAAATGATGCCAATCAATCACAGAATGCTTTCGAACGAAATATAGCGCAACAATTTTACCACAGTCTAACCGATTCATTGGATGGAAATTTTGATAATAGCAAGCATATAGCAACGGACATTGATTCGATGGCCGACATTGTTAAAAATAACAACAGCATTACAGCAGGTGACACAGACGCCGATTCACAATCACAAAAACATTTATCAATTAATGATATTGGACGTTTTCAATATATTTTACAAATGGACCGAGAAATGGTAAGATTCACTTTCGTTTGGATACATATTTTTTTATTTTTAGTTTTGGTTTTTTGGTCTGATTCGATGGGAGAGAAGAAAACGAAGAAAGCATCGTGAAGCTTATTTTTCCATTACGTTATAATCTCTGATGCGGCTAATAAATATTATGAATAATTTTGCGGAACGATCATTTATAAGCTTATCTGATCGATATGTTGCACGTATTTTGAGCAATTTATGTGATACGATGTTGTTGTATTTTGCTTTGCATTTCTCTGTCCTTCTTGCTTGCAACGAGAAGAGCCTCCGCATTGAACTGAATGCCTTGGTAGCGACCAATAGCTTTAAAATTCGAACGAATCACGTTTCGAATCAATATGTTGTTTTAATGGCTATTAATAATGTCGGTCTTATGATCCAATCATACAGTGGCTTCAATTTGGTGATGTTCTTCACGTTGTTTCGGCACTTTTCATGAACAATCTTGGTTTTGTTTCTTTTTATAAAACATGAGCCAACTTTGCATGGATTATTATAATGTAGGTCGTTGTGAGTTGAGAATGAAAGAAGAGACTGCGTAGTTTTCTGATGGAAACTTCGATTTTTATCGATGTTCAATGTTTACTTCACCATTTCATTTTTATTGGGCTATTTAACGTCAAGTTTATGAGCTACTGTTGTTTTTTTATCACATTCCATTGCAACTCGTCTTCGATTCTTTTATTTGCTGTTTACTTTCGTTTCTCTCTCTGTGTGTGTATCTTTTTTTATTTTAATTTTCTTTTTTTTTTTAATATTCGATCCTAAAACTGCAGCAATTATTCACTTTTCCATCGATATAAATTGATTGCATCGCTTAAACGTTTTTTTATGGCCAAACATTTCCGAGAATTCAAATCATGTAAATTGCTAATTTTGCAAAATAATACAGTCCACACATAGATGAAATTCATATTTTAATGGTTTTATCATGTTTTCTCGTTTTGTATTTTTTTTTATTAAATTTTTCAAATAATCGTCCAATTCGTTCAATAAATGACATCAATAAAATGGTGTACCGTCGACGATGATTGAAGAAATATGATGATATGCCAGTGAAACGAGCTTTTACGAGAAAAACCAGTTGACTTATTAGTGATTCTTTTTGCTTGAGGCATATTCTTCTACGCATTATTATATGAAGAAACAGAAATGTGCGATGATCTTAGATGATGAGCTTAACATGACCTCTTGTTATGTTTATGGTAGATGTTGACTGGTGCCATAGAATTAATAATAATTATTATTATCAATATGATTTGTGAATAAATTGACCAATTTCAATATGACAAAATAAAATATTTTTCGATTGGCAAATAGCACACAAGCGAATTACATCATGTGATATGTGATCTAATGTGCAAAAAATATATATATATAGATTTTCGACTATGGTCAAATGAAGAAACAAAACGAATTGGGTAGTATAACAACAAACACTGAAATCAACACTTTTGGTTTAATGCGATTTTATGTGCCAAATCTTTTTATAAACAACATAATCCGTAAATTTACGAATATTCAAATAATAATCAATTTGACTAGTGAATGACACAAATTAGCGGTAGTATCAAGCAGCTTCTTTCAATGTTTCTTTTTCGGTACCATCTGGATGCAAATCGTAACAATGATAAATGAAGAAACTTAAAAAAGAACCATAATCATCATCGTTATTATGTGGATTGCATTGAACTTTTCACACCGAAAATATCATTGACCTTAAGCAGGAATTGCAACCACACTTGAAGTGTACAACAACGATAAAACCGAGGATGTATGGTCGTATACAAAGTATAACTGACAAATACGGAATATAATTAATAATGATTGTTCGTAAAATACAAATATTGCAATGGTGTTGCAGAGTCAAAGCCACCATCAAGAGGTGAATAAAAAAACACGGCGGAATCCTTTTGTTTTTTGGTAGCAAAAACGAGTTAAGCAATCTTCGATGCGGACGAACATAAATATGGAATGATAATTGAAAATGACAGTATGCATGTTTGGAATGCGTCGTTGCATATGGATATGTGAAACAAAAGAGCGGATTGATGACCGGTTTGATAACAAGTGATTCTGTTGATTTACGGTTTGTGTCGCAAAATATACATAAATTCCTTCGGGTCAATCGTGTCACTGAAAATTGTGCAACAAACAACTGACACAATGCATGTCAAATCTTTTCTCGACCGATCAAACGTTCCGACCAATCAACAACAAACCACGGAAAAAAAATCGACCGTTGGAATTTTTGAAATCCCATTAGTCACACTTATTTCATAAAACGTAACGCATACAACGAAATTGACAGCGTGCAAAATGCACCGCTCAACAATGGTGACAGTGATCTAATAATAATCGACTTAACATTGATAATTATTTTACAATATGCGGCTCTGCTTTGTCTGCTCCGTTGATCGTAAATTGTTCGCATCTCATTTGATACAAAGTCGTGAATTTATTTCTTTCTCTTTTCATTTTTTTTTTCTTTCTTTTCTGCATAAAATCAATTTGATTGTCATTCCAAACAGAATATTGAAGAGAAAGAAAGAGAAAAACACATGTTGAATAAAATCAATGGCGATTTTATAAATATTTGAGCTTTCAGATGCAAATCAAGCGTAATAAATTAATTTACAATAGCAATACCAACATAAACCTGTCCAAATAATGGCACCAAAACAATTGAAGGTAAATCGAATGAAAAACATTCCTCTGAGAATTTAGTGACTTTAACGAACAGTTAAAGACCATTAGATCATTTATGATTTATTTGTATGAAAGAATTGGGCGTCGCTTTTGTTTATATTGTGTATACAATTGTCGTTTGATAAATGCTAAGCTACCACATTTTATTATAGCAATAAATGCTGTGACAAACCTCGTTCAGATGTCGTGCGGTAAATATAATAAAAAAGTGATCTATCGATCTATCGTGACAATCATGCCCAAAACCTATTTCGTCCGAATTGATTCATAAAATGCCATGATTATGCAAAGCATTTAAGGTGTATCGAGCGTATAATTCTTTTTAATACGAAAGGTGTATCGAAGTCATTAAATTTATTATATTATTAGATTGATTTCATGTGGCATATAGCGTAGATTTATATGCGAATCGGAGGGCGTGCATAAGAAATCGAAAATTGTATCGACATTTTCGACGGCAGAATTCTTCCGTCTTAATTTAATGAACTACTACAATGTTTATTGTACCGATATCGATAGTCAAAAATGTCAAATTTAATTAAAAGTCAAATACACCGATAGAGAAGCTTGTGATGTGGACCATGGGAAAACAATCAATATATGAAGTGAGACGAAATCAATACTTTTGTACAATTCAATTCACGATTCCAGTATGGGTTTCATTCAAGTTTATTGCCAATAAATTGGTTTTAAAGACATCAAGGCCCATTTTAGTAACCAATGAACACTTTCGCTCTCATGAAACTATACTCTTGAAGTCTATTTGTTTATACAGTCACATTGTAAGAATTTGTCAACGAAATAGATCAAATCGTGAATTCAGTCTGAATATTTTATTGAATGGAATGGCTAGAGATTCAGAATGTGCGACTTTAATAGACATTTGATCTATGGCTTGAATTTTCATTTCAAATTTTATTTCCTATTGTTGCAAAAAAATGGGATTTTTCCAAAGAGATATGTGCCATTTCATTCAACCACAATACGGAACAGCTTTCACAATTTGATATAATCAATTCCCTTTAATTTCATTATAATTTCGCTCAAAGTTGAACACACAAAAAGAGAGAGAAGAAGAAGAAAGAAGACGAACATCGAGAACAATTGAAATGGAATGCATTTGATGTTCCCAAGACAACGACGACATTAAATCACACGAAACAATCCAAACGAAAGTGAAATGACAGCCGCAAATTGATCATTACAAAATAGCGAAAAACCGATTTAAAAACACGGATGAAAAAAAAAAACAAACAAATTATTTTCTCATTCAATGTAGCAACCGATCAATCGATCGATTCATTTCCTGTTCGTTAACGATGCGAATTAGAAGCCAGCAAAAAAAAAAGCAAACATGTCAAATGATTCAAATTTTTCAAATTATCGACAGCAAACAAGAAAGAAGTAACAACAACAGCAAAACCGTGAAGATGCCTCAATCTGAATTGAGTTGACCTTATGCCAATAATATCTTTGCAACTATAAATTTCGTTGCTTTTAAATCAATGGCATTTTCGAATGGAGTTCAATGCATTCCGAATCCATTTTAACGGTTCGAAAGCGGGTTCAAGAGAATGAAAAAACAAAAACAAAAAGTGAAACCGAAACACACTGAACCCGTACAAATTGCTGGGCTCATCGTCGTGCTCGTGCACGGAGCAGAAGTGCAATTGACTACTTCGCCCGTGTCCATTCGATGGAACCCATGCAGAAAGCTGCATCTTCATTTTTTTTTTATAAAAGCAAAAATTAAATGTCGACCGTTGTTTGTTACTGGCGTTCGGTCGGCTCTCTATATATATTTGGTTCCATATGCCGATTGTTTTACAAGCCAATTGGTATTTGCGTAGGAAGAAAATAGCCGGCATTACGTTTGCTTATGCACTCATTATTATTATTTTTCACTTTCATTTTTACTTGATTCGGTGGAAAAAAGAAGAAATAACAAATTATTGAATTTCCGATGAGATCATTAGCGCCAAATGCGACACACAAAAGGCACTTCAATAGAATTTTCAAATAATACAATAAAAAACAAAAGAGTCGATTTGTTGAAAATAATTTGTCAATCGATTTTACATTGTTTAGTTTTTTTTTGTTTCATCGATTCGGAATGTTATTTATTCAATTTTCTATGTCTCTTTTTTTTATTCATGTGTGTGTCGAAAGCGCTTTCATGTCCATAAAACCGTTTAGTTTCATCAATTGGATAATTAGCTACATCAACCATCACCAAACAGTCAATGGCCATACGTGGACAAATCAATTCA